CTCATCGGAGGCAAAAACAGAGGAGGGGCGCGGCGGCGCCGTTGGGCTTCAGCTAGGTTTTTCGGTCGTTTGGCTGGTGGTTTGGCTTCGGTTTGGCCATAGGCAGACTCAGCATCGAAAAACGAGCCAGGAGGAGAAAATTTACCTCGATCAGCAGTCGAAAACTTCCCCGGTGCGGCGGCGAGTGGCGGCGGCCGGCTCCTCCGGTGTCTGGTTCTTCTTCTCCAGCGAGACACTGGCGGCTAGGGTTTTTGTGGTAAGGTGTGGATGGGGTTATTTATACCATTTGCCTTTTAATCTCAACCGTCCATCAAGATTAAATCTGGACTGTTCGATCGCGATTTAATTTTGATTAAATCTGGGCCGTCCATCGCGATGCAATCTGGGCCGTCTGTGCCTGATTGAATCTGGGCCGTCCGTGCGCGTGAATCTGGGTCGTCCGTGCGCACGTTTGATCTGGGCCGTCCGTGCGCGCGGGAACGGATCTAGGCCGTCCGATCGCGCGTACACGGATCGCCCACGTGGCCCGTCCCTTGGTCAGCGTTTCCTTACCACGCGGCGTGTCCTGGTTGGCCGAGGCTGCTGACAGAGCTACTGACGTGGCTGCTGACGCGGGTGCTGACGTGGCTGCTGACGCGGGTGCTGACGTGGCACAACTTTTCTAAATTGTGTTTTGACTCCCGGTTTTCGATTTTCTTTTCAAAAACACCCCCATAATCCAAATTTTCACCCCTTTTTCCCAAAATCAATTTCAATTAAATCCAAATAATATTTTTACCCAATTTTATCATTATTATTATTTTTATTTTCATGAAATTAAATTAAATTAAATCAAATTAAATTAATTAAAAATCTAAAAAATTCAAATAATTAAAAAATAAAAATAATAACACTTAGGTGTTACATTATCAACTAATCAGTCGTCCCCTTACCCCGTCTTGTATGAGCGCCAAAAATATCATCCATCAATACCTCATTCGATATGAGGGTAAAACAGGGCGTTCTCATACCCCGTCCAGTATGAGCGCCAAAAATACCAATTCTCGATACCCCGTCTAAAATGAGGCGACGTTCACAGTAGGGTTCCCTATGTACCCGGTCCATCCACCATCTCCTAGGATATTCAGTAAGGCTACTATTCATTCATTCACTTAACCAATCAGTTTTCTGTTTACCTTTAATGTTTAGTTTCACAATTTAGCAATAAATCAACACAAGACAAACAATACATGCATCAAGAAAACACAAGTGAATCATTTTACCAATTTCAATATATTATCATGCATTTAAAGCTGTAAAATCAAACAATCAGCTAAATAGGATAACAATAATAAATAACTAATTCTGACTCTATTAGTAACCTGTAATTAATTATAGAAACTTTCTAAATTACGCAAAATACCGTATTATTGATAATTGAATAAGGTGATGGATTCTTACTCGAATCAGTGTTCGAAACACCAAACTTTTAGTTGCGCCTACTAGTGGTCCCCGGGTTTCCTGAATTTTTCTGCGGAGATTAAAACATGATTTACGTACCTAAAAATACCCTAAAAAACTCAATATCGGTGTTAAAAATCTTTTCTGGCCAATTTTGAAATTTCAGCACGGCGGCACCACCGTACTCTGACGTCAGCTCCACCACCCGCAGTGGCGGTTTGCCTCGGACTGGCCGTTTTCGGCCAGTTTTAGCCGGTTTCGGCTATTTTTCTACCCATCCCTACGATTCTTTCATTTTGATAATTTTTTTGATTACATGGATTATACCTATTTGCACAAATACCTCGACGAGCCCTGCTCGTTAATACATAGAGCCCCATAAGCATATTTTGCGTCAGTACAGAAATGGGATCCCCTACTCACATTCGTGGTTGAGCATTTTTTTCGGTCAACCTGTAGAAAACAGAACGATGAACACAACGGTAGAAAAATTGTATGAAATAAAAAAC